CTTCCGATCGCCCATGCATTGACGATGAATTTCGTTTTCGCGGGTATTTCATATCCGAGCATCACACAACTTTCTATAGATTCTCTAGGAAGCAAAGGGCCAGGAGGATGTAATCTGATGGTTTCTTTGACGACTGAGTTTAGGAATTCAAGTTCTCCAACATGTCCTTTTCTCCCAAACACTTTCCTCACCTCTGCTTGTGCCTTTTCCATGAGTCTTGGGTTCTTCAACATCTCTAGCATTGCCCATTCCATGACTGTAGATGATGTGTCACTCCCACCAACAAATATATCCTGATGATGATAACCAAAAAATGTGAAGAATAATTGATGATAACGATGTATCTTTTTTTTTTTTTTTTTTTCGAGTTTCATGGGACTTAAATCTAATACCAAGTTCATTGAAAGTTACTTAATGACTACTCCAATATTTACTTATTGACGTAAGATTAATCCAACGGTCATAATAAATTGGATAATTGACTAAAAATATTTATAATAATTAATGAAATTGAATTTTTATTATATATCACATTATTATATTTCTATATTTGATGAGTAACGACTAAAAAAATGTAACCATTAAAAGTTCGTCCTTATGTGTGTACGTGCGTATGTATGTGCATGTGTCTATATGTAGTATGTATGTATAAGGTTATACACTATTGCTAGTTTTGAGGGGGAAAAAAAGGCTTAATGATCTCGCGTTTGGAATAAGGATCTGTGTCATGGTTCGTGGCTTGTTACAGTGTTTTCTCTCATAAAAAATACTCGTAAACTGAGAATGGTTATGCATCATGATTCTGAATCCATGAACCAAACGTTTATCTCATGGGAAAGGGAACTTCAACCGCAGATTGGTGAATTTAAAAGAAGCATGATGGAAGGAATAAGTTTGATCAGTAAAGGATAATCTAAACACTAGGATACGGCCACATGCAGATTATTTGCTGCAATTTCTATAAATTTTTTAATTCTGGTTCAATAAATTTCAGTGGGGCTTTTTGTAATGCTAGTTGTGCTCTCTTTCGTGAAAAAAAAAAAAAAAGATAAATGATACTAACCAGGATAATCGCTTTGATGTTTCTAGTCTCCAACAAGAATCCAAGATCATCGTTTCCCTGAAGATTCAAGAGAATATCCAACAAACTTTCAGCTGCTGCATCCTTATAATGATCATCAATATTATTGTTTCTCATTGCCTTGTCTTCTTTAGCTTCATCAATTATGTTTTCAAGTACTTGATCAAACTTTTCGAAAATCCTCTCTAGCTTCTTCTCCATGCCACTAATCCAACGAAGCCAATGTTGTGAAGGAAAGACATCACAAAGATTGAAGCCCCCACCAACCTTTAGAATCTCGTGGACAATAGCTATGAACTCCTCTTGCTCCTCACATTGCTTCCCAAAAGCCGATCTTGCCGTGATGGAGTACGTCAAGGAAAACAACTTTTCGCTAAGGTTAACGACACGCCCTCCATTCGAATGTAGAAATCGAATGAGATTCGACACTTCTTCTTCCCGAATTGATTGGAAGGAGTGGACACGTTTAAGGGTCAGAAGTTCTTGTGTGCAAACTCTCCGAAGATGTCTCCAATAATCTCCATAAGGAGCGAATGCAATATCCAAGCCAAAAGACTTGCTTGCCGCGAGGAGAAATGGCCTTTGCGAAAAGTTGGAATCTTGAGTTCTCAACATCTCTTTTGCAGCCTCCGGGGAAGAAACGACAACGTGGGAAACTTCACCGAGCTTAAGGTGCATTAAGGGTCCATATTTGTCGGACAAGTTTTTCAAGCGAAGGTGGGGGAGAGAAAATATAAGGAGATGAAGATTTCCTATAATGGGAAGTCTCCGTGGCCCGGGAGGTAAATTCGGAGTTGATGATTTTGAGGGCTCATGAGATGTTCTTAGCTTATTTCTTGTTATTTTGAGTGCCGTGAATATGAAGAGGAGAAAAGTGAAAAGCAATGGAATCAGTAGATTTTGTTGATATGTTTCATGATGATACTTTTGTTGGTTGAAAAGAGGAAGGAAGAGATTTTGAAATGGGTTCATAATTTTGTTGCAATATGCGCCAGAAAAAAATGGGAAGAGAGGGAGTTATATGCTTTCGGTCATGAAGTTAATATGCAAACCTCTATTCAGTTTTATACACAAATATGTCCTACAGGCTAGAATGTGAATAATAATAGGCAATAAAATATTTTTTGGATAAATTTTTCATGCTTAATTACTACTTTGTTTCGGGTTCATTATTTATATTAGGAAAATAGTAAGAAATAGGCCAATATAAAAAGCTTAAAAAAGTGTATAGGCCAATTTTTAGTTATAGAAATTAATAGGCCATAACTTGTCAAGTTATGGTTCATAACCATATAAGTTATAGATAAACTTGTCAAGTTATGGTTCATAACCAGATAAGTTATGGACAAACTTGTCAAGTTAGGGTTCATAACCAGATAAGTTATGGACAATAACTTATCAAGTTATGGTTCATAACCAGACAAGTTATGGACGAAAACAATAATTTGGCCTATTTATTAACTTATGTAAACTATTGGCCTATTAATTTTAATTCATCTCAAGTCTTGGCCTATTTCTCCTTTTCTCCCTTTATATTATTATTATTATTATATTACATAAAGGAACCTTATGCGGCTATGCCTTGGCTGCTCCTATACTAGCATAATAAAATTCATTAACAAAACCCTAAACTTAAAAGCTTCAACAGACCTTAAATTCCGAGTCCTAGTGTCCATAGTCAATTACAACCATCCAAATATGCATTTCGATACTGAAATATAAGCAAATACTCAAACCACATCAACCCCAAAAGCATACATGATCACGTGTGCTATATCACCAGCTTGGCAACAATCTTTCATGGTCTTCTATCAAAACAATCATTATTCATGATCGGTAAACATTGAACAAGATGCAACTCATAAACTATACCAACAATCAATAATGATTGTGAATTATTTTAATTTCTTTTCAAGAAAGTTGATCATAAGTTGCGCTTCGAAATGTACAACTAGCAAGGACTTTGATTTCGATGAAATAGCTAGCTCTATTATTATTTTTTTATTTGGGAAAAAAATGGAACATCATACACAAAAGCTAAAAGCGCTTTAAAAGAATAAATTATATATAATAATTGGCTTTGGTGTGGACTATCACTATGTACGAACGTAGTTACCAAGATCACCACCCTCCACCAGTTATAAGTTCTAACATATGAACTATATATAAAATTGTATTATTGTAAGTACTAAATTGTATTAATTGTTAACATTGAAAAAAATGCACAACTAATAATTTATTTTTAAAAGGGAATTAACAATATCTTATAAAGTTCTCCGATTTAAATTCATAGTATATATAGGATAATGAATAATGACAAGAAGACGAGAACTTTTGTACATTGCCACTTTTTTTGTCTATACATTGATACACCACTCAAAATATAAGTTTGTGCCACTTAAAATTAATTTTTTCCTGATTTAATATAATGCATGTTTTTAGTACTATTTTGAGTGGTACTTTGTATTTTTTTTCCCGAAGACATTAGGCCCTAACCATCAGACGAGAAGAGCGTTATTCTAATCCTATCGAATGTGTTAATAGTAAAGGTTATCAAATATTAGGCTGATAGAAAATAAACCTTCACATCTAACACCTTATAAGGATAACCCATCATTCGAAACCTATGATCACTAGCTCACCATAATACTTCATTACAGCTAGACAATCACACTTGATGATTATATTGATTATAATATAGCTATAGCATTAAAGTTGCCACATTATCAGTCGACAGAGTAATCCAAATCAGTTGTCACAGTTATTCATTCAGTAACCGTATTTCATCTACAGGCGTCATGATTACCGTATTTCATCTTTCTAACGACCCGACTTTTCATACCGCTACTTAGCTAATTTAAACATGTTTATCTTACATTAAAATGCTTGCTCGATTATGATCATGCTCTTGGTTATCAAAATTTCATGATTTTTTTTTTTTTTTTTTTTTTTTTTGCATAAAATTTCTTTCATCATAAACCTTAAAAAGTTTTCACTCATAATGTGGGTAAATAGACTTGAACATCAAGCTAATTGAGAAAAACGATTTTATGGAGAGCATTAAATTGAAACATGCTTTACTTCCTTGCATTCAATACAAATATTTGACTGGAAATGTCATGCATCGTAACGTGCTAATCCCTTCTAGGATTTCTCACACTAAAAAACTAATATTGAAAAATTCTACCGAGGTTGACTTCCAATTAAATTATTAAAGAGTCTAATGTAACTCATTCATGAAAGTGAACATCATCGTTTAACGAACACCGTATCGCCTCATTATATATTTTTTTGACAGTCATGGAAGCAATCGTTGGGTTTAAATATTCACAAAATAACTTAACAATCATTAAACAATGTCCGTATAACAGGAATTATAATTAACGTCTAAATTTTTGTATGTTATATGTCTTGAAATTCTTATTTATTATGCTCCTTGATTTAGATCCTTGAAGAAAGTCATCAAGACACTTTAAACCGTCAAAATTCATGCTAATTCATAATTTCAAATATAACTTGATCACAATTGACCATAATGATGATTATGCTCAATACATGTATCATCTCATCGGCCAATTGCATGAGATGTCACTGATATGGAAGTTTGCATTCCATTATAAAAGTAATAAATATATGTTGTCACAAGAAAAATACTAAGTTAAATTTTACAATTTAAAATTTTCTACTTTAGGATTTTCTCGGGTTTTACAGTAAACTGCAGTTTATCACTTCATATTCTACACGTAATTTTCTTTAGTAGTGTCAAAATTTTTTTGTAATAACATAAATAATAGACTTGGAAAAAATTATAGTTAAACTTGAAATTTTTCCGAGAAAAGAAAACCCCATATGTCGCAAACTCCATGAGCAACAAATATCTTTTTGCTCCTTTTTTAATGAATTAAATAGATCAAAAAATACTGTTACGGCCATTATTAAAATCCGGTATAGGATTCATGATAATACCAACAAAAGATGATCTAAACGTTTTGGAAACTGAAGTTGCAGATCCATGTGATAAATGATGACAGATTTGGTGGCGCAAAACTGGGACTCTCGTTTACAGACATTATGAGGGTTCGCTAAAAAGACGGCGACTCCGGCAATGGAGACAAAGAAGATGACAGAGGGAAAAAGAGCAGAGAAAAACAATGGTTAAATAATAGTTCCTGACGTAAAAACAAAAAAACAAACAAACAAAAATAATATAAAAAAAAAGGAACGTAAGCAAGGCAAAAACAATATGCAGCAACAAATAATGCCAACAAAATGAAAATAATCGCCTAGAGCGACAAACTTAAAATACTCAATTAACATACAATTGTAATCTCTATATATATGGAGGCTTATTCATAGTTCTTGTTATTATTGAATTTTTCTTTTTTTCATATTCCATGGATGTAGACATATTATCGAATCACGTTAAATCTTTTTATTTATTCTTTTTTTCTTTTATTTTCTTATTTCGTTATTATTTTTCAGTCCCTAATTTTGTAGATTTAAATTCAAAAAGTGAATTAATCAACTCAAGATTGATTTATATGGAAGAAAATAGAGATATAAATAGATCTGAAAGGAAGATGATGATAACCCATGGTATTACTCGAATAGCCTTTATTATCGTTGTAATCAAATTAACGTGTGCAATCAAATTAAAGGGAATAGCCTTTATTGTCGTTGTAATCAAATTAACGTGTGCAATCAAATTAAAGGGAATAAGAGGTATCAAATTTGTTTGGTTTTTTGAATCAAGGGTCACTTGTAAATCTCAGTGAGAAAATATTTTTCTTGACATATTTCATCACCACAAGGGCAGCTTTTGGTAAGAAATATGGAGAAGAAGAGGCTTTCTTTTATAGTAATTGTCATTATTTCAAGGAATCGCTCTAAGGATGGGTGGAGGTTTTAGACATTCAGGGCTTGTTTGGTTCAACAACTCAAAATTTAAACATTTTTAGTTAGAACTGTAGAATTTGAATTATAGTGATTCAAACTATAATCCGAATTGTTGTTTGGATATGCAAATAAATGTAATTTAAATTGGGAATAAAATATGAACTATGTTTAGATAAAGTGTTAAAAAATATTATTAAAGTTTGTAACAAATCTTATAAAAGCTCATTATAAATGACATTAAAAAATATGCAATATGAGTGGGGATTTGTTCTTCTCTTTATTATCAATACATTAAAAAAAATCATCTCAATCGGAATTAAAACGAAAAAGTTATTATATTTTTAAGATTAAAATTGACGAGAGAGAAAAAGTAGAATTTAAAATTATTGGACTGTTGGCAACATTCAGATTGTTAGAATTTAAAGGGGAAGATGAATTTTAAAATCAATAATTTGAGTTATCCTTAAATCATTGTTAATGGCTTGAATTGTTCTTAAATTTTCCTCTCTCAAACACCAATTTAAATCATGAACTAAAGTGTGAATCCTAAACAATAGTCTGAGTTGTTGAAACAAACAGGGCACAGGGTTTGTAACGTGTTTCCCTCACAAATATTTGTTTGGTTCATTGGATTAGTGGTTAGAAAATAGTGATGAAATACTCGAGAACATAATTGATGAGTATAAAACCAAGAAGGCAGGGAAAATTGGTGATGATGATCATGATGATCATGAATAATAATAATAATAATAATAATTATTATTATTATTATTATTATTATT